GACAACAAAGGCTTTTGTACAAAGTATTAGATAAATTTCAGTAAGTGTGTTCAATACTTATTTTACCCGCTGTATGTATATATATATACAGTATTATATATAGCTTGAAAGAGCAGCAACAAGTTCCTGCGTTGGAGTTCAGTACTCTCCATTATACTTCATCCATGTAAAGATTTATCACAGTGGGTAGAACTGTCCTTCATCTCAAGACTGCATACTTATTTTATGATACACGTTGGTGTCCTGACCTCATCTTTGGACAGCACGTTATAGAGCAAGGAGCTTACAGCCAAAATTTAACTCTGATTTAGGCCCGTTTAGTAATCAAGTTTACCAACCTGTCAACCTAATGCCACATTTTATGTGTGTGTGAATTTTCAATTCAATTTAAAAATACTTTATTGACCCTAAAGGGAAATTAGGTGTTGTAGTAACTCATTTAACTAAAGAGTTATTGTAGATGGTGATGGCCGTGGGCAGGAAAGATTTTCTGTAGTGGTTTGCATTATAATGAAATTGAAGAAGTCTCCGACTGAAGACACTCAGTCTCATGAAGAGGATGGTTGTCCACAATGATCTTGATTTTATTTAAAATAGTTTATTTAAAATCCTTCTTTAGTGGGTGAGAGGATGAGGGTGGGACTGTGTGATTGTGTTTGTGTATGCTTGTATTTTTGTCAGGCTGGGACTTGGGCRGCCCCTTCTTCGGGATCATTTGAGGGCCCATTACTCCCCTGCCATACTGTCCTGTGGGTTGTGCCTTTACCACCGGCGCGCTGGTGGCTCTTGTTGTCCGGGGCTGGGTGCTTGGGTGTGTGCCGGCTCGGCCCGGTGACTGCCCGGTGGGGCAGGGGTCCCTCTGGTCCTATCGGGCCTTGGCCTGGGGGGTGCGGCCTGGGGGCCCGGGCCTCTGTGTCCATGCCTGGATCCACTCTGGTGCGGTGGGTACCGGCGGGCCCTGTGAGTTTGTCACTGCTGGCCCCAGGGGTTGCTGTGTGTGGTCGCTGGTGGGGCTCTTCTGGTTCTCTCCGGTGGTCCTCTTTTGGGGGTGGGTGGGCAGCCCTTCCRGCGCGGGTGTCTCTAGGGGCTGCGTGCTTGGGGTCCCTCTCAGGGTCTTTGGCACTGGTTACCCTTATGTCGGCTTCCTGCTTTGCGGGTCGCGTCTGTGGTCCCCCACAGTCATTTTGAAACATTCCATTGGAGAGATCCATGCATGCTCACAACTGCACACAAACAGGTGTTTACATCCTGGGTTTTCACACACACACACA